CATAGCATTGACATAGTAAGTTCTATCATACTGGGCTGTCATAGACATGGAAGGACCAGCTGTGCCCTGGTCAATGACAGTCACAGTGAAGTCACTGAGTGAAGATGAATCATTTTTGGTTCTTCTTGTGATATCCCATTCATAACTACCTGAATAAGAGGCAACTGAAATGGAGATCTGACTCTAGGCAGCAATCCTAGACAGCATAGTTGTGCTGGAATGTTGGTAAAGGTAGGCACTACCCATGAGTGGCTGGAAAGAGGTGCCAGAGACAGATGGCAATAGCCATGCTGAACTGACAGCTGGAGCAGGCAACTCTGGAGAAGTTGCAGACACTTCCTGTTAGGGAAACTGCATTGCTCACCACAGGACGAAAAAATGTGTATCAAATTTGCAGTTGCAAGGGAAGCTGGATTTTGGAAATTATCTGTAGGAAACAGGAAGATAATGCAAAAACCTATGAGAATGCTTACTTTGTCCTATATTTTAGGACAGCATTATCTTAGGAGTGTTGCAATCAATAAACCTATTACACCAATATTCACTGAGATACTCAATTCCAAACAGTGTATGTTGGCTGTACGTGCTGGAGCAGTTTGGTCTTTCTCTGAGGAACTGATTTTGCAGGTAATGTGTACACAAGGCCAGTGTATCCAAGACCCATGTGGTCTTGTCGATACATTATTCCTAGATACAATCAACCTTCCCCTGCCTTATCGTTCCCCTGAGTCTTCACTAGTACTCACTGTAACTATTTCCTAGCATTGAAGACTTTAGAACTAGGAGGTTTTGAGAGAAATTGTTTTAACATTTTCCTTATACATGTGAGAAAACTCATGTTCAGAAAGGTCAAATTGACCTGTGCAAGTTTAATGTGAGTATAATTATCAGCTTCAAAACCTGACTCTTTTGCCAGGAATCTGCTCTGAGCAAAGACAAGAAACTGGGGGAAATAGATTTTTCCATATTGACATTTGTTTGGTTTCTTAGACAATAGTAGCAGCTGTTACTATCGTCATCTTTAGAATTCACAGGTAACTCAGGCTAGTTAGTCTGATGGATTCTTATTTACCAAAATGAAGACTGGGTTCTCATTCTAGGTCAGTATAACTGCCTGAGAGTTGGCTCTCAAGAAAAACCTTTTGAAATAAAAAATAACTCTTTAAAAACTGTCTTTTGGGTAACTTATCTATGAGGTGGTTCTTATAATAATAGTTGTCATTCATAGGTGATTAAAAGTGATATTTCCTAAGATGTAGATAAGGAAATACAGAAACTTCAGGACACACCAAAGAGGAAAATTATGAAAAATATATCTAATATCACAGAGCAATAAATAATATGTGGATATTAATGAAACTCAAGCTATGTAGCAAGCATCAAAGTATAGTAAATTACTAATAAATGAAGTTCTGTTATTTGTATAGGCAGTATTATAAAACTAACTACTATCTATTTTAATGAATGTATGAACCAAGGAACAACACACCAACAGAAGGTGATTTGGAATGAATTTCTAAGCAGTACAAATAGACAGCAAGATGTGTGAGTAGAAAGCATGTAGCAAGCAGCAATATATAGTCATTATGAATGTACAGATAGACATAATATATGTAGACAAATGTTTCAATACAAACTGGCACCTGGTACTGCAGACGGAAAACAAAACGGGCAGAAAGTAGAGGGCAAGACTGTAGGTGTAAAGGAGGTCCACTCTCCTTTAATCTCTGAATTTTACCCAGCATTGACAGATATTAATCATAGCAAGAATGGATATTTATGATAGCATAGCCTGATAAGCAGAAAAGAATATTTAAAAGCCATCATGAAATTTTCTTATATTTATCATCAAAACCTAGATATAATCATCTTTAACATTAGGAAAATGTCATTCTCAAAGTTTAAAAAAAAAAAGATTGCTGGAATTTATTAAACAACCCAAATAATTCCAAAACATTGTTTTGGATACAAGTGGAATTAGAGATGTGACTTTTTATTCTTAGGTAGGTATTCCTTTTTATTCTCAGTCTAAAAACAGTTATTGGTTAATTGGTATGTACTCTCTTTTATGAATACAATTATTGTAAAGATGAAAATCAACTTTTACTTTAAAGCTACTTTCCAAAAAAAGGAATTTGTCCTTCTGATGAAAGTTAATATTTAATCTAAAAGTTTTAATAATTGGTAATAGGGGAAAACTTTATACAGTTTAAAAATCAGAGGAAATGAAATATTTCAAATTTATTTTCCATAGCCTTCTACATAACCATCTTTATTAATTTGTGGCTTAGAGAGGGTATCATTTACAAAACATATTTCTAATAGATTTATATTTAAAATGGTCCAGTGTCATCCTCACTTTGGCAGGACAAATTCTAAAGTTGGGACAACACAGAGATGATTAGCATGGACCCTGGGCAAGGGTGATATGCAAATACATGAAGTGTTCCATATTTTAAAAAAATTATAACTAGGCAACCCCCCCTGGGTCCCTTCCAACTGTGGGAACTTTTCTCTCCTTTCCATAAATCCTGCTTTAAAATAATAATAATAATAATGTCAACTTTCTTCTTGTTCAGAGAGACAATAGGAAAGCGCCAAACAGTTGAACATAACATTTTTGATAGGTTGTATCTCCTAAAACATGTTAATCTATTCTGACCTTAGTTTCCTTCCTAGTCCATTAATCTAAGCATCTGGAAAAACCAGTGTCATTTTTCTTCCTCTGATTAGGTTTCCACACATTCTATCCCAAATTACTTTTTTTTCTTCAAAAACATTTCTGTCTCATTCTAATATTCTTCCTTCCCTCATTTTGTATTTTCTCTTATGTCAGTTCCTGTTGGTCGGTGCTTAATGAAACGGTCCCAAATTTCCTTAACCAGGAATATAGACAACCTTATAACCCAGTGTTCTCTAGCCCATTATTTTCTTTTTTAACCAGTTTAAATGGAAAGTGCCAAAACATGGAAGTATGACTTTTTGAACATCACTAAGTTTAAAATACTAAAGTTGAAATATTAATTGTAGGAGTATATAACTGATGAAACCTCTTAAATGTATTGCAAGTTTTCTATACCACCTAGGTTTTCTATGTTTCTCTTGAAACACTGTCTTAAAAAGTCTCTGATTTTATTGTTTTTATGTACCTCCCATAAAACTCAGGGTTTGAAAAGAAGGGGATTAAAGGTAATAAAAAATCATGACTTCGTATAACAGATGAGGAAACAGAATTTGTCTCACAAAATCATGTAAATGATTTACCCATAGTCACACAGCTAGTGACCATCCAAACCAAAACTGAAATTACATCTCTAGATTTCTAGGTCAAATCTTGGTCTCATAGTGCCAGCACTTTTGACTACTACTGAATTTAGGAGTGAAATCTAATGAAAAACTTAAAAGTGTCTTTTCTTACCTGACATGGTCAGAGAAGAGGAAACACCAATTATAGAGATAAGAGATGAGTAGTTGGTACTAGAAATTGTGTGAGTAGCTGAAGTGCAAGTGTGCATGTGTCCAATAGGAAAGTCACTGGTCACTGGTCACTTGAGATGATTCAAATGTGTTTACAGGCAACTTCATGGTACCCCCAAAATTCTACCAGGTGGGGGTAGGTTTGGTGGGGGAATGATGTCACTAAAAAGGCAGTTGAAAGGTCAGAGCCAGCCAATAGGGAGGTCAGATTCCCAACAAGCTGACAGGACTGGTTGGAAAGAGTTGGCAGGAACATTAGTGCAGCACCCAAGTGACTGAGCTCAGGGGAGTAACAAATCTTGCAGGATAGACATGATAGTCCCACTTTCCTCCAGGCTGTTATGTTAGGGAGTCATCTCAATGTTCTTGTAGGTGTTCATTAATATAAAAAATCATTTTTATATGTTTACAGTGTTGTTTATATTGTATACGTGTGTGTGTGTGTGTGTGTATATATATATATATGTTATGTATCCAGTAAATAACTGAGGAATAGGGAAAGGACCATCTAGGTTGAGCAATTATACTTACTTATCGGGCAACCATGTCAGTGGATCTGATGAGTGAATTTACGGCTCCTCTTAAGGACCAAAGGAAGGGATTAAGGAACTCTTTTTGTAACTTGAAGAACAGGTTGAAGTTCTTTGAGTGCACCTCATAGGAAATGATGTGTGGTCATAGTTTTTTAATTCCTTCTGGAATCCCATCTCTTGGACAGGATCAGACTGAGACAATTTGAACCTGATGTCTCTTCTGCTCGCCTGTCTAAGCCCTGATTTTAGGCATTGTTTCTGAGCTAGGCCCTGATCTTGCGTTCGTCCAATAATGTGCATTACTTTCTTTAAACTGCCAGAGCAACAGTTTTCTTTCCAATGCCCTTGAACATCTTTTTCATGTTTAAGAAAGATGTCCTCTGCCCACTGGCAGCAAACACTAGAGTGGTGGAACTCAGCTGTCTGCAAATCTTTCCTCTTCTGGTCTTTGGCCACAATTCTTTGGCCATAATTTTCCACCTCTGGCTCCCTGGACCATGCAGACAACTTACCATCCTGCATTTTTATACTTGAGAAACACGGGATACTTTCTCTCTTCTCCCAAAAGGGATCACAGCGTGGGAGTTACTGCCGCCTTCCCCACTTTGCAGACAGTCACGCTAAAGTCTTGGGTGGCTTAAACAAGATATTGCATGAACAGTGACTAATATAATGCCTGGCACAAAGGAAGTCCTCAAGAAATAAAACCACTATCACTAGCATTGGTATCATTATATGCAATGATTGGTGAAGTAATATGACAGATTTTGAAGGGAGAGTTACTGGTATCCAATGTTATTTCTAGAAATACCTTTGAAAGACATATGACATAGGAACAAAAGTTTTGTATAAGACAGTTCATATAACCTTGTTTTTAATGGCTAAAATGTGTTAACGACCTCAATATCTACTGACAGGTGACTACGCTGTGGTATAGGCAGATCCAAGGCCAACTCCCCGGAGTGAGATTAGAGACACCAGGACCTCTCAAATCCTGTTCTGATGGCACCTGGATCTGAAGGGAGGTAAGCCCAAATTCTTCGTGCATCTTCTTTTGACCCCGTCAGGTGCGGGAGCGTTTTCTCAGGTGCAGGTGTCTTCCTAAGGTTCAGGAACTTCTTCTCCCAAGCTTAGTCTCTCCCATATGGACAGTGGCTCTCCTTCAGGTGCAGGAAGTGTGCACCAGGTACAGGGGCTCTTCTTCAGGTGTTGGGCTCTTCCTCGGATTGCAGGGCTCTATCTTGGGGGCACGGATCTGCCTCAGGTGCAGCGACTCTTTAGAAGGTCAGTGTTCTCTCTCAGATTCATGCTGGCTTCCCGTTGGTATGACTCTCCTTCATGTGCAGGGGCACTTCCTTAGGTGTTGGAACCTTCTCCAGTTGCAAGGGCTCTTCATCAGGTACTGGAGTCTCTCTCAGGTGGGGCGGCCATTGTACTGCTGCAGGGATCACCCTCAAGTTCAGCCCCTTTATTCAGGTCCAGGAATCTTCTTCAGGTGCAGTGCTCTTCCCTAGATGCTGTGATCTACTTCAAGGGCAGGGATTCTCCCAGAGTTCGTCTACAGGTATAGGGTTCTTAGGAGCAGTGGCCCTTCTTGACGTGCTGGACTTTCTAATCAGCTGCATGGCTTATTCCTGATGATGGGCCTCGCCTTAAGGTGCAGGAGACCCATTAGGGTGCAGGAACTCTTTTTCAGGCGCAGGAGGACTTTCTCCTTTTTAGCACTCTTAATCATGTTGAAGAGTTCTTCCTCATGTGCTGGAGCTGTTGATCAGACGTAGGAGCCTTCGGTCGGGTGCAGGGCTCTTTCTCAATGCAGGACTATTCCTCAGGCACAAGACCTTCTCCTCGGGAGCTGGCTCTCTCCCTGGTGAGCAGTGACTCTCCCTCATGTGCAGAAACTTTCCTTAGGTTCCAGGGCCCTACATCAGTTGCTTGGTTCTCCCTCAGGTGAAGGAACTCTGTATAAGGTCGGCTTTCTCCCTCAGATTCAGGGTTGCTCTCTCACATGGTGGGATTTTTTTTGTCCTGTGCAGGTGTAGCTGCTCAGGACTAGGGCTCTTCGTCAGCTGCAGGAGTGTTCTTCAGGTGCTGGAATCTCTCTCTAGATCTGGCTACGTGGAAGACTGAGGTTTCCCATCCCCCAGCAGGTCGATTCTGGGTGACTGTGAGCGTGCCACTGCACTCTAGCATTCCAGCCTGGGCAACGGAATGAGACTCCAACTCAAAAAAAACAAAAAACAAAAAAAAACAAAAGATGAGCAAGATTCTCAAGGAGAGCCTAGTTGAGCTCCAAGCTGAAGACACCAAAATAGCCTGTGTGGAGAAAGACTAGGGACGAGAATGCCCTGAGAGCAGAAATGAAGTGGGTGCTAAACACAAATTGCTCATGTGAAAATTTTGCTGTGAACCCATTGGGGAAGTAAAATGAGAAACATATTTGGCAAGTAAATTCTTAGGAAGAAAACAATGTGAGCCGAGCTCATTCAGATAAAGGGAAGTGGACCAATGGTTGTGGGACTGTTTACGTTTGTGTATAGTGAATGCACACCACTGATGTTTCTTTTCAGTTGGAGTCGGAATTATCTGTTGAAGAAGATGCCCCATCAGAGGAAGTCTACCGTATAACTGGTAACAGGAAAATGAGTCTGTGGTTTGGAGCACCACCAGTGGTCTTTTTGAAGACAGGTATGCTCTGTTGCCAAGAAAAATGAGTCGTTTGAAATGAGTTCTTCTGCATGCTTCGAAAGAAAAGTGTTTAAAGTGAGGGTAGCCGGGCTCGGTGGCTCAGCCTGTAATCCCGCGCCTTTGGGAGGCTGTGGTGAGTGGATTGCCTGAGCCCGAGGGTTCGAGACCCGCCTGGGCATGCGAGACCTCATCTCTACAAAAGAATCAAAAAATTAGCCGGGGGTGCTAGTGCGCATCTGTAATTCCGGCTACTCGGAAGGCTGAGGCGGAAGGATCGCCAGAGCCCAGCAGGTTGAGGCTGTGGTGGCCGGGAGCGGCCACTGCACTCCAGTCTGGTCGACAGAGTGAGACTCCAAATGAAAATTAATAAATAAGTAAATAAATAAATGAATGAATTAATGTATACATAAATAAAGTGAGGGTATCTTTTTCTTTTCAGCACGTTTGCGTTCCTTGTCGATCCAAGATGTTAGGCCTTTGTCAGACATGGAGTTGGCAAATACTTTTTCCTGGGCTGTAGGCTGTCTCCTGCTCTCCTGATGGTTTCTTTGGCTTTGCAGAAGCTTGTCAGTTTAATGAGGTCCCACTTATCTATCTTATCTCTTATGGCCCGTCCGTTTTGTGTTTTGTGCAGGAATGGGATCCCACTTCCCATTTCCATAAGGGTGTGTCCTGCATTTTGTAAGGTTCTTAGGGTTTGAGGTTTCACATTTCGGTCTCTGATCCACTTAGAGTAAATTTTTGTGTATGGGGGTAGATAGGGGTCTCGTTTGAGTCTTCTGCATGGGGTCAGCCAGTTTTCCAGCACCATTTACTGAATAGGTTCTCCTCTCCCCAGTGGTAGGTGCTGCAGGCTTTGTGGAAGATGAGTTGGTTGACAAATTGAGGTTTTGCTTCTGTAATCTCAGTTCTATTCCATCGGTCTATATGCCTGTTCCTGTACCAATACCAAGCTGTTTTGATTATTGCAGCATTATAGTAAAGTTTGCAGTCTGGTAAAGTGACACCACTTGCTTTTTTAAAATTTATATATTTTCTTTTGTTTAGTGAATTTTGTTCTGGCTATTGTTGGTGGTTTGTGTTTCCATATGAATTTTTTCTAGGTCTGAGAAGATTGTTGCTGGTAATTTGATGGGTATTGCATTAAATCTGTAGATTACCTTAGGTAGGACGGACATCTTCACAATGTTGATTCTTCCCATCCGTGATCATGGGATCTTTTGAAATTTGCTTATGCTTGATTTATGGCCCAGCAGGGTTCTTTCACTTCTGACCATGGCCAAATGCCTCACAACCCACAAGTCGACGAGGCTATTTTAACTTTCACTCAAGGCATGGGTGGAGCAAGAACAGACTTGCTGTCCCATGGTAGACAGTGGGAATCCAAAAGACTTGTTAGCCTCAGAGTCTTCACTAGCTTGGGGCAAATGGTGCTCTGCTTCAGGAAACTGAAAGAAGCAGGGCGTCTGCATTTCACATAGTTACATGAGAGTTTCAGGTGGGGTTGGCCAAATGGAGGTGTAGCAGTGAGTGTCTGAATCTCTTGATATCCTCTCACGGAAATGTCTCAAAGAAAACCAAAACCTGTGAAGTATTTACCCCCACACTGGAGGACAAAGTTCTTCCTCTGATCCCCATCACAAGGTGGGCCAAACCAACAGGCACCAGACCTGCCCGGTATGACCATCAGCACAGGAGAAAGTGGCCAACAGGTGGTCTTTATAGGGCCAGCCAGTGTTCACTGGAAAGTGAAGTGAGCCAGTTTGAGAACAGCTGAAATGCTGAGGGGAGTGCCCGGTCCCAAAGTAAGTCATTACAGGGGCCAGTAGTAGAATCTGAAGGGCTGTCACAGCCCAGCCCTTCTACACTCTTGAACCTGAGAAGCCACGGTTCCTTTCTGGGATGCAGCTTATCACAGAGGAGAAACTGTCAGGAGGAACAAGAAACACAAAGAATAAAAGTCAAGAAAGGGAGCAAAATCAGGAAATCTGGAAAGCAAGCCACCGTGTTTTTGATACTTTGTTAAGCAGCCTGGATAAGGCAGCTAATGCCAGTAATCCCAACACTTTGGGAAGTTGAGGGGAGAGGATAGCTTGAACCCAGGAGTTGAGACTAACCTGGACACCACAGCCAGACATCATCAGGCACACACTCACGCCAATGTCTGGTGTGGTGATACATACCTCTATTCTCAGGTACTAGGGAGGCTGAGGCAGGAGCATAGATTCAGTGCATGAGTTGGAGGCTTTGGATAGCCCTTATCGTGCCATTGCTTTCCAGCCTGGGAAACTGTGTGAAAACCCAAGTCAAAAACAAAAAATAAGTAAATAAGAAATAAACTGATAAAGAAGAGAAAAATGAAGGAACATAATGCGTAATGTCTTAAAAACAAGTAAAACATTGTGAACATCAAAAGGAGATAAAAAGTATTCTAGAGCAATGGTGACTATAAAAGGCAAAACACCTGGCTAATTATTCATCCAGTAATGCAAATACCTATGGGATTTAGTATAACATACAGAGATATCTCAAATCAGTAGGACAGATTCTTCAATCCCTCGTGAACAATCAATTTGGGGTAGAAATAAATAATTTCCCTGAACTAAATTTCAAAGTGGCAAAAGTAGATGTCTCTAAGGGAGAGGGGAGGTGGATGTATTTGAAATACTGAGAAGTGGGTGAATTTCGGCCATTTGTATCTTTCTCATGTTCTACGGTGAATCCGTTACTTCTGAGGTCTAAATGCCTGAGTTCAAATCCTAGCTCTCCTACTTCCTAGCTCTAATCTTCAGCAAATTCTTAATATACTCGCCTTCTTTTCGAAAATGGGATGAATTGAGCCAGGTGATAACTGGCAGAGAATAAAATCTCAGTCAGTGTCACTTAGTAGGGGAAACAACCTAAATGTCCAGCAGCTGATGAGTGGATAAGCAAATGGTCCATAGCCATATTATAGAATACTATACAGTAAAGAAAAGGGATGAAATAGTGACACGCACTGGAGCATAGATACACCTTTAAGCTGTTCTGCTCAGAGAAAAAACCAGATACCGAATGTCATATTTGATTCCATTTATTTGAATCGACAGAAAAGGCAAATCCCCAGGAACTGGTGGGTCCTTGGGGCCAGTGGGAGGATAGAAGAGGGAATGACTCAGTGCTGATAGGTACAGGTTTTTCTTTTGGGGATGAAAAATGAAATCGATCCGATAGTTGTACCAACTCATGAATGTACCGAATGCCACAGAATTGTATCATTTTGTTATGCAAATTGAATCTCAAAAAGTGTTAAAGTAATCACTGATCTTCCAGGTTGGTGATGCACTGCTTCATCCTCTTTTTCACCCCCTTGATTCCTTTCCGGCCCTCCCTCCACTGCACCCAACCGTCTCTGCCTTTCACTATGACTGGTTGATACCCACGTTTACCTAAGGGCTCTTGGACTCCGGCATCCTGTGGCTGTGGGGGTGACACAATGTGCACACCTCTCTCATCCCATGGAAAGGTACACTCCAGACCGAGTTTTCTCCTGCACTTCAGTTGATGGCAAGGAGGTTCCACCAGCTGGTTTCATGGAGGGAGACATAGTGGGGGCCCCTCAACCTAACATTTAGGCCCTTCCAGAAGTTTGATCTTATGTGCCGGTAACCTCCAAACACTGTGCTGTGAAAGCCAGGTGGGTCGCTACAGGCACTTAAAAACACAAAGGACTTTGGTGTTCCTCTGAAGCTCCACTTTGGGGCCTTGCCCCTTTGCATGTGGTGTGACCCCAGCACGTTGGTGAGCCTCACCAGTACAGTGTCACGGCGATACTGGCTTTGTGTGGTGTGAACGTGACCTTAAATCGTACTTCTTGCTGGTCTTGTCATCATGGTTGAGTAAATGGTGGTTGATATCCCAGCCCCAGTTCTGTGGAGGCTTCAAACAGTGGTGGTTTAACTATTGAGCCGCCAGGTTATCGGCTTCCCTAGAAGTACTGGGGGCACTTACTACTCCCCTCGTACATTTCTTTATGTTTGGTATTCATCTTTTGGCTGTTATATATACTTAATGTAGCCCAAACCTATTGTAGATGTGTCCCAAACCTTATTTTCTATAATGTGTACCTGCTAGGCCATGATGTGAAGTCATCCTCCATGAGATGTTTTACATTTCTTATGGACAACCCAGACACAGGTTCTGCCATCTCCAACTTTGTCCAAATGGATTGCTTTCCGTGCTAACCCAGACTCTGTGTCAAAGTTCTCCCGTTATCTCCATTCCTGATTCCTTTCATAAACCCATAACATCTCCTTCCTTTTGGCCACTCTAGCCCTGGACCCGGTAATATCTTTCTGCTTTTTCCTCAATTCGTATTCCCCTTCCCCTATTTTCCAAATCAGCTTTCAACTTTTCCTTCCTTCCTTCCTTCCTTCCTTTCTTCCTTACTTTCTTTCTTTCATGCTTTCTTGCTTCCTTTTTTGCTTTCTTTCTCTTTCTCTCTTTCTCACTTTCTCTCTCTCTCTCTCTCCCTCTCACTCTCTCTCTCTCTCTATCTCTCTTTATTTCTCTCCTTCGTTTTTCTTATTTTCTTTCTCTTTTTTTTGAGTTAGAGTGTCACTTTTTGGGAAGACTAGAATGCAGTGGCACACTCACAGTCACCTCAGTCTCAATCAACTGGACATAGGTAGTATTTCTGCCTCAGCCTTCCAAGTAGCTGGAGCTACAGGTGCATGCCACTATGCCTAACTACTTTCTTAAAGTTACTGTAGAGAAGAGATCTCACCTAGTTTACCGGGCTGGTCTTGAACCCCTATACTCAAGCAGCCAGTCCTGTAACCACTGTCTCCAAAAGTTCTGGAATTACAGGCTTGAGCGAGCACCTTTGATCACCACATTTATCAAAGAAAAACCACAGATAACAGAATCTCAAACTCAAGAAAATCTTAATCAGTCACACTTTGAACAGTTCTTTTACATTCTATTTTAGTTTCATTAAGTTTTAAAATATACTTAAATTGAGAAATTGTATCTATGTATGCATAGAAAACTAGGTGGTACCCGAGAGGATACCAACAATCTTCCCAACATCTAGATTCTGTACCCATAGTATTGAGAAATTTCCATATCGTTTTCCCTCTGAACAAAAAACTGCACTTTCCCCCGAGAGGTATATGCGGCGGCCTTTTGACGTTCTTGTTGAGCTTGCCTCTTCTTGGCCTCACGTTCGGACCTCTGCTCTTCTGTGATGGCTGCTGACATGACTGGTTCAGGAACAGTCGGTTTCCTCCAAGACCTTGGTTGGCAGCTGAAGTCTTCAAGCAGATAATGGTTTTGAGGCCTGAGTGGTGGCTGGAACTTGGCCTCAGCAGGGAAAACAGGCTTCTTGTAGAGAGAAGTGCGAGGTGGTATTTTGTACGGGCCGGGATTTAGTGTAGAGGACTGAGGGATAGGAGGTTGAACTGAAGCTGTCGAGCTGAATCGGGTTTCGTTGCTTGAAATGGGCCGAGTTGTTCCGGCAGGACCCGTTGAAGATGTGTGGGTAGGAGCTGGTTGGGATGGACTGTCTGCAGTCGGCTGAGCCAAGTTAGTAATAACAGGTCTGGCAGAGTAAGGCACAGCAGGCCTACATGCGGCCAGAGACGGCGGCCGTCGAGGATCAGGGGTAGCTTGAGGTTTGTCCCGAGGTGGAAAGGGCAGCGGTACCAACTTGACTTTCCCGGGTGGTGGAAGCTCGTCCTGGGAGGGAGATGGCCACTGATTTTCCGCATTGCTGCTTGGTTTGGGGACTTTGCTTTGCATTTGCTCAGTACCTTTACCCTTCTGTGGGGTATCCAGTTGTGTCTTGAGAGCAAGGGATGGCTTGGCCTCTCTGCTGTAGCTTGAGTTTCCCCGGGTCCAGGAGGAAGAGACTCCAGTTTGCTTGTCAATCGTCTCTCCCCGTGGATGGAAAACCTGCACGGACTCCAGCAAATGCATGCCTAGACCAGTCCGAGGCTTTTTAAAGTCCTCTGGGCTAAACACAGGTAGATGATTTTTCCGCTTCATCTTGGGATGGTTTGGCTCTTTTGCCTTGCTGGTGTTTCCCGACTGTTTACTCTCTCCGGATTCCTTGTTGTTGCTTTCGCCGGTTCTTTGGGTCTTTTTGTGTCCATGCTCCTTCGTTTTCCTAATGGTACTGGATGCAGCTTTCTGCGGTGTGATGTCAGAATGCTTGGCCACATCCGCAGGAGGCCCGTCACCGGCTGTAACATTACAAACAAGCACTACTTCCTCTAACTGGCTCTCGTGGTTCTTTGGCTGGATTTTGGCCTCTGGAACTCCTTGGATAGGTTCGGAAATCTTGCGTTTGTTCTTCCTGCCTTCATTAGAGGGACTTGTGTTTTCCTGCGTTTGATTCAGTTTGATGGCTCTGGTATTTTGGGCTTTGATTCCTGTGGAACCTTTGGGCTGGTCATGATGTTTGAAGGAATCGAAGAGCGATGGAAGGCCAATAACCTCTGACAGCGTGCTGATGTCTGCAAAACCGCTGCTAGACCCAATTCCACATTCAAGTGTCCCTAGGTCCTCAAGACTTAAGCTGTTTTCTCGTAGGTTGGAACTTTCAGAACAAGGTTGTTCCTCAGGGCCAAGAGGATCAATGCTGGACAGAAGATGCTGAATATCAGGAATTTCTCTAGGGAGTAGTGGAGGGTCTTCATTTTCCATTGAGGTCTGGTAGACACCCAGAGGCTTGGAAAGCTTGGTTTTGATCTCCGTCAAATTCCTATTATGTGAATGTTCCTGGCTTTGGGGCAGGTCAAGATCTTTTACATAATCGAAGAGGGATGGAAAATGATTATCCTCCGCCAGCGTGCTGATGTCTGCAAAACTGCTGCTAGAACCAATTTCACATTCAAGTGTGCCTTGAGCCTCAAGACGTTGGCTGCTTTCTCCTAGATTGGAATCTATCCTAGTAGATTCCTGGATAGGAGCTTTCACACAACTGTCCCCAAGCTCAGGTGATGAGCTAACTTCAATTATTTCCATATCTTTGCTATCACAGGACTTGGGGAATTCTGTCTTTGGTAATGGACCCATTGTCTGAGTTGAAGTGTGCAAATCAAGGGAAGGCTCAATCTCCTGGGACGTTTCCAACACTAGAAAGGAGTGAAGAAACAAGTCATTCCCTGGTAAGTGAGACATTCTCCCTACACACCCATGCAGCACTCAAGGACCGACCGTCGCATGTTGGTCGGGCACTTGTGACTAACTCTTTTTAAGGACCACCTCAAGACTCTTTATTGGGAGAGAGGCAGTGGCTGTTGTAGCTTTAACCGGTTATTTAATGGTGTTTGCTAATTTTCGTTGTATTTCACAGTGTTGTTCTAAGTCAAAGTCAAAGTGAAAATAATATTGAAAGATGAAGTGTTTTGTAAAGCCTAGCATTTTCTTAAAGTGTTTTTTTCAACTCTTTCCACTCTCCTGAGAGAATAAGATGACTTTGGATTGTGAACTAGGACAGAGTATTGAGTTCTTTCTCCTGAAATCATTATGTAAGGACAGCCTCTAATCCTGCTTGCTTTGGGGTGTATTTCAGAGTAATCGGCCTTAAATCCTGGTGTCAATTAAGAAATATGAAAGTGTCACTATCACAAGAAGACTCCTGAAGTGCTTTCCAAAGACATTAAAGCAAAACCTTAGGGAAGGATGTTAATGAGAGTGTGGTGGGACAGGGGAACGGATCAGCTAGGGCAGCAAAACGCATGGTATTCTCTGGTGTGCCTCTGTGGCTCTCTTACGTGTAGCATAGATGGCCATTATAATATCCCCCTTTCTGACATATTCAGGTATTCTCATATTGAGTCTAAAAAGAGAGAACACAGAGCACGAGTAGCGGTTGAAATCCGGAACTCCAATTTTACGGATCTGTGGACTCACCGCTTGTCAGATTCAGCTTTACCCTCCTTCGGTGTGCTGAGCTCATTCTTCTTCCTTCTGACTGTTTGAACTCACCTTCAGAATGTGTTTCTGTGCTGGGCGGAGGAGGCTCGGAGTAGTAGTTTCCAGAGTTGGAGGCTGATGTTAGGATATTTATGGAGTGAATCTCCTTTAGCACCATCACCACTTGTGGTTGAGCAGCAGAGGTGCTATATCCTGGGTCTGACACAGAGCCGCAGGATTGTGGATAGGGGACAAATGCTCCAGACACTAGAGGACCTAGTGTGCCTTGACAGTAGTAAGGAATCTGGCCTCCTTCCTGATAGGGGAGTGACAGGCTATGTGTCTGATGTGGAATTTGGGATGCTGTCCCTTGAACAAGGCTTGCAGACATGGGTGGATACAGAGGGACCATGGCATTGACATACAGAGTTGTATCATACCGGGCTGCCACAGACATGGAAGGACCAGCTGTGCCCTGGTCAGTGACAGTCACAGTGAAGTCACTGAGTGTAGATAAATTATTTGCGGTTCTTGTTGTGATATCCCACTGAGAGCTACCTGAATAAAAGGCAACTGAAGTGGAGATCTGACTCTGGGCAGCAACCCTAAACAGCATAGTCGTGGTGGAATGTTGGCAAAGGTAGGCACCGCCCATGAGTGGCTGGAAAGAGGTGCCAAAGGTAGTTGGGAATAGCCATGCTGAACTGACAGCTGGTGCAGACACTCTGGAGAAGTTGCAGACACTTCCTGTTAGGTCAACTGCATTGATCACCAAGGGACGAGAAAGCTGTATCGAATTTGCAGTTTCAAGGGAAGCTGGATTTTGGAAATTATCTGTAGGACACAAGAAGGTAATACAAAAACCTATGAAGATGCTTACATTGTCCCATTTTTTAGAGCAGCCTTATCTTCGGAGTGTAGCGATCAATAAGGCGGTTACACCGATCTTCACTGAGATAATCAATACCAAACAGTGTACGGTGGCTCTAAGTGCTGGAGCAGTTTGGTCTTTCTCTGAGGAACTGATTTCGCAGGCAATGTGTACACAAGACAAATGGATACAAGATCCATTTGGTCTTGTTGATACCTTGTTCCTAGATAGAATCAACCTTCCCCTGCCTTATCTTTCCCCTGAGCCTGCACTGGTACTCACTTGTAACTATTTCCAAGCATTGAAGACCTAGACTAGGAAGTTTTGAGAGAAATTGTTTTAACATTTTACTTTTATTATGCAAGAAAACTAAGGTTCAGAAAGGTCAGATTGACCTGTTCAAGTTTAATGTATCATTATCAATTTTCAAAAGCGGACTCCCTTGCCAGGAATCTGCTCTGAGCAAAGACAAGAAACTGGGAGAAATAGATTTTTCCATATCGGCATTTGTTTGATTTGTTAGACAATAGTAGCAGCTGTTACCATCGTCATCTTTAGAATTCCCAGGTAACTCAGGCTAGTTAGTCCGATGGGTGCTTATTTACCAAAATCAAGACTGGATTCTAATTCTAGGTCAGTATAACTGCCTGAGAGTTGGATCTCAAGAAAAACCTTTTGAAACAAAATAGAACTCTTTAAAAATTCTCCTTTTGTGTACCTTATTTATGAGGTGGTTCTTATAATAATAACAGTTGTCATTCATAGATGATTAAAAGTGAGATTTCCTAAGATTTAGATAAGGGAATACAGAAACTTCAGGACAGACCAAAGAGGAAAATTATGAAAAATGTATATAATATCACAGAGCAATAAAGAATATGTGGATATTAATGAAACT